CTTCCGGAGTTCCCGGTCAGCTCCAACAAAATTGGTGCCGCAATCCGAGTATACATCCGTGCAGAGGCCTCGACAAGCGGTGAAGCGGCGGAAGGCGGCGAGGACGGCTTCGGTGGTGTAATCCGATACAAGTTCTAGATGCACAGCCTTGGTGCTGAAGCACACAAAGACTGCGATGAAGCCCTTGTACGCGCGGTGCCCTCGCCCCATTGAAGTTCGAATTTGGATTGGGCCGGCGTAGTCCACGCCAGTACGGAGGAATGGGCGTCCTGGCGATACTCGTCCTCGAGGGAGATTGCCCATTGGCGGTTGCGGAGTGGTGGCTTGCCATCGGATGCACGTCACACACCGGTGCAGGTGTTGTTTGACGACGGCTCGACCCCGAGGAATCCAATGGCGGAGTCGGAGTAAGCCCAGCATGAGCTGCACTCCACCGTGTAGTGTTCGCTTGTGACACGACTCTATGAGTAGCCGAGTCAACCAGGAAGCCGGTGGAGCGATCATTGGGTGCCGCTCGTCATTCGATAAGACGGCATGCTTGAGACGTCCTCCAACTCTCAGCACGCCGTTGTCGTCCAGGAATGGACTCAACTTCGAGAGCGAGCTACGATGTGAGACGATGCGATTGGCGTTGATGGCGGCGATATCTTTGGGGTAGTGCAGCGATTGCACTATGCGGAGCCATCTATATAGAGCTTCGTCGAGCTCGGCCGGTTGAAGGACCGTTGGTGTTGCGTCGCGGGGAAGTTGTAGGCGAACGACTGAGCGTCGCCATCGAAGGCACCACGCTGTCACCCTGAGAAGCCGGTGCAGCGAGGAAAACCTGAGCAGGAGCTCGGGCTCGATTTCTACGGCGGCGGCGTGGTGCGTGGTTGCTGTCTTCTCGGGCGGTTCGTCCTTGGGCGCCTCCAGGTTCTTCTTCGGCCAGCTGAGCTCGGGTTGGCGGAGCCACTCAGGGCCAGTCCACCACAAGGCATGGTGAGCCAGCTCGCTGGGAGCTATCCCTCTGGACGCGCAGTCGGCCGGGTTTTCTCGGCCGGGAACGTGTCTCCACTGAGCGTTTGGGAGCGTCAATTGGATCTGAGCTACTCGATTGGCCACGTATGTTTTCCACCTTGATGCGTGTCCTGGATCCAGATGTAACGTGACCTTGGAGTCGGACCATAAGTACGTTGGAGCTGTGGAAAGACAATGCGGTGCTTATATGGTGAGTAAGATTTACTAACAATGTTGCTGCACAAAGTTCGAGGCGCGGTAACGAAATTTGCTTTATAGGAGCAACTTTGCCTTTCGCAGCCAGAAGATGGATTGTCGCGGTGTCACCGTTAGACGTCCGGAGATACACGGCAGCGGCATATCCTCTCTCGGACGCATCCGCAAAGCCGTGTATTTGGAGAGTTGAGGCTTCATCTCCCGTTTGAAGCCAGCGAGGAATTCGTAAGTTCTCCAGTTGTGGAAGCTCCTCGAGGAGAAGCCGCCACTGTCGTTGTTTGGCGGGAGGAAACGGAGCATCCCACTCCAATCCTTGCAACCAGGTGGATTGGATCAAGATCTTCGCGCGGATTACCATTGGAGCCAGCCAGCCCAATGGATCGAAAAGACGCGCAGTCTCTGTAAGGACGCGCCTCTTCGTGTACTCGGAGGTTGTGCGGGCTTTGATCGTGAAAGAGAACTGGTCGCTGCGCGAATACCATAGAAGACCAAGCGTGGACTGATGCTCATCCTCCCAGGTGTGCTGAGCCTTGATGAGTCTGTGTTCCTGCGGGACTCCGGTGAGTGTCTCTTCGCAATTGGCGGCCCACTTTCGCAGCGGAAGTTCACGCTGCAAAGTTGTAGCCTCAGACAATGTGTTGGCTTCCGACACAATGTCATCAACGTAACAGTTCCGTCGTAGCGCAGCGGCCCCGTGAGGGAAGCGGGATTCCTCGTCGTCAGCGAGCTGGCGCAAAGTCCGAAACGCCAAGAACGGTGCACATGCGAGGCCGTACGTCACGGTATTGAGGTTGTATTCGCGGACCTCGCTCGTGTTGTCGCGACGCCAGAGCACGCGCTGGAAGTTGTGGTCGTCGGGGTGGACTAGAATTTGGCGGTACATTTTTTCGATGTCGGCCACAATCGCATATCGATTCCACCGCCAGCGGAGGAGGACGTCGAGTGAAGCGAGGGGGGGATTTAAGGCGGGAGGAGGCACGAACCAAGCATCCATCTCTTCCGTGGCAGCGGCACTGTCGTGTCTATGTAGGGCGTTTACACACTTCCTCAGCCCGACAAATAATTGAGATCTGTAAGTGAGATATACCAAAAGCTTTCATAACACATAAAGGAAATTGAGGAACAACGCTTCTCAGCACACAGAGCTAAGATCGCTATGTACGCAAGTTTTTTTTGTACTCCAGAGCGATGTTGGAATCTCGCTCAATGGATGCAGTGCCGATTGTCACGGAGAGACGAAATCCCCAGCACGTCTCCAGAGCGGTCCAAATCATAACGATTGAAAATTGGCGCCCGTAGCCGCTCAGCGATGAGTCTTGACTCATCACCAGTATGAATGGAAGCCTCCTCGAGTAGTCCATCCTAAACCACTACGCCTAAGCAGCCCCCTCTTCTGCTCCCAATTAATAATACGATCTTCCACCGTCACTACACCCGTCAAAATAAACACAGCCTCGCCGTATCCGCGCCGACTAGCCGCCACCCTGTTTTTTCCACGCCTTACGCCGTCACAACAAACACGGCTTCGCCATGCGCCGGCTAAACCATCGCACCGTATCACGATACGATTTATATTAGGTCTACCGGAAAGTTCTGTCCGTTTTTGGAATAAAACAAAATACAAATTTTTATTATCGTCAATAAACTTTATTAAATAATGTAATTGCCATTATTCGGAGAAGTATTGTCAGCAACTGGATAATTTAAATACAGCAGTCCAAGAAAAGAGGCCGGCGATGTTCAATAGGAAGAACATCATACTGCATCATGATAATGCCAGGCCACATGCTGCTTTGGGGACTCGTCAAAAAAGTGCAGAACTAGGCTGGGAAATTCTGTCACATCCACCATATTCCCCGGACTTAGCACCCACCGACTATCACTTGTTTTTGTCCTTACAAAACTTTTTGAGGGGCAAAAAATTCAAAAAGGAACAAGATATCAAACAAGCACTGGTTCGCATCAAAAGATAAAACATTTTTCGAAAAAGGGATATACAAATTGCCCTCACGCTGGCAAGAAATCATTAATAATAATGGCAATTACATTATTTAATAAAGTTTATTGACGGTAATAAAAATTTGTATTTTGTTTTATTCCAAAAACGGACAGAACTTTCCGGTAGACCTGATATAATACTCGCAGAATTATCCGCGCCCGTACATATTGTTACGAGACGTGCCGAATAACTATCGTGCTTTAATTAAAACTCGCGCCTTGTCATCCACCGCGCGTCCGCTTTGCGGGATTTAGTCTACCGTTAACATTTGTACACTGACTATTGCCGAAGGAGGCAAATAAACAGACCAAATTACATCACGCGTCTATCGTCGTGTCTTAACCCTGATTCCGACCGAGCATATCCGAACTCGCGAAAGCGGCCCGTTACACACAACGTGGAATATTAATGTATAAAAGTATTTTGAATTATAGATTAATTATTTATTAAATGATTAATGATCATGAAGCCTTTCATAATGCTAATTACTTATCGATCCTACGATTCGATTGTTTAATTGCGCGTTCCCAATCCGAATTATATCAAGAGACACGGTAGTGTCATGCGCGTAGTAATAGCGAGGCACCCCGGGTGTCTATACGCGAGTCGCATAGTTGAGAGTACCTTAAGATTTGCCCATTTTAGATTATCAGATCTGAATAACGGCTGAACCGATCGAATTCTTGATAGGCTTAATCGATAGCTTGGATTCGATTTATACAGGGTGAGTCATTTTAATCAACGCACACAAATATCTCGTAAAGTAAACAAGATGGAAAAAAATGTTTTATACAAAAGTTGTATGGTTCAGAGGGGGACACATGATGAAAATATGGACTTGATCTTGAGTGACCTTGTCAAGGCCAAGTCAATGTGATCGATGTTTTCTTAAATGGAATCCTCCATTTTTATTACATATTCTTGTAGCTTATCTTGAGAGATTTTCAAAACACTATAATAAAGTATTCTTTCATTAAGTACTTTTTGAGTTATTTTATATTTTAATCTGACATATTTTGATATAAAAAATAAAATATCTCGTAAAATATTTAGTTTTCGATAATCATACCGTAATACTTTTATCTACAGAATAATGAGACAAATCAATTAGTGTAAAAAAAAAAAACAAATAATTGTTTAAAAAAAATACATTGTAAATAATTACATAATTTTTCTTAAAAACAATTATTTTTTTTATTAATTGTTTTGTCTCATTATTCTGTACATAAAAGTATTACGATAAGATTATCGATAACTAAATATTTTACGAGATATTTTATTTTTTATATCAAAATATGTCAGATTAAAATATAAAATAACTCAAAAAGTACTTAATGAAAAAATACTTTATTATAGAAGAAAACATCGACCACATTGACCTCACCTTGAAAAGACCACTTAAAGTCAAATCCATATCTTTATCATGTGGCCCCCTCGAAACCATGCAACTTTTGTCTGAAACATTTTTTGATATCTCACTTCGTTTCCGAAAAATATGCCCGCGTCACTATAAATACCGCACCCTGTATAAGGAAAGTGTCTTTTTATTTTCGTTCTTCATGTTCTATAAAGCAGAGATATTACGAAGCAAAGTCGAAATGTGGAAATTTTCATGTAAGAAACGTGACCACCATCATCATCATCATCATCATCATCGTCACCGTCGTCGTCCCCTTTACCGCTATATATGTATACAACACATGCATAGAATATAGGCTGCATTCGGGGAGCACTCTATTGCAGTGATGCCAGAATTGCCACGCTAGCAACACGCAACCGTAGTGGAGGGGATGACGCACACAAGCGCAAACCGCGTACGTGTGAGCTCGGCGCTTCGGCTGGCTTCGGATAGCAGAAGAGGACAGATATACTGTTTTCTGTCTCTCTCCTTCTTATCGAGCCGGCACGAAGACCGGGCGGTACACGTCACACGTCGCTTGGTCGCTTCTCGATTGTCGCTTCTTACTATGCCTTAAATGTTTTTTTCAGCCTTTTTGTATGAGATATATTATCTATTATATATCTATTATATAATATATTTATGATTAAGATACGTATATAAATTACTTAAAGTTTTTAATCCACGTAAAAATGCATTTTAAATCGATGATTTGAAAGAAGGAATATCCTTGACCACACGGTTCGTCTCGACCGGACACAATATATTCGAAATAATATTTTTACATTTTGT